CAGATCGCTTAGCGGAGAGTGAAACTCTGAAGTGCTCAGTCAGAGTGTTCGGCGAGTGAAAATATATCTGTGCTAAACTTATACTTAACCTCCAACTCACACACTGTTGAGTAAAATCTGAGAATTTATTAGCAATTGGCTAATATTAGACATAATTTAGTCGCCAGAGTGAAGATTTAGTCGCATATGCGAGTGATTTACTCGCAATGTAGAGGGTTGTAAGTTGAAAGACCAGTTTCCACCTGCATGAATTTTGCATCATTGTGATTTATCCAATAGGCCTTTCCATTTAACCTGTCATTTCCTTTTGATTTAGGTCTGCACCATTCCTTTCAATCCAGTCAAAATTTCATTTGCATTGAGCTCAATTAGATCATCTGAGGTGTTTTTAAATTAAGGCTTCAATCCGATTGAGCCATCAGTTCATTTATAAACTGATTATTTGCATGCATGTAAACATAGCTATTTTCATGTGCATTGCAGGTGCTTTACATGAAGACCTTTTATTCCGTTTGGCCTATCAATCTGATTATAAACCGGTTGTTAGGTTGCATGTAAATGTAACACTGTGCATTGTACTGCTGATTCTGGTTGTCCGAGGAAGCCTTGACTATTGTTTGGAGACCTGATGTGCACACCAGTAGAACAGCACAGCATCCAAAACACTGTGCTGCTGTGCTGTGCTGACCTGCATTGCTGGCTCTATAAATCATATGCATCATAAAAAGAGGCTCCATATATCAGAATATCAATGCGTTATGAATGAATGACTGGCTCAATAATAATAAATGGATGTTGGAAGCCTTCCACCATTTACCTCTTTCATTGGCTGGATTCTGCAAATCTCTTTCAGATCCGGACGATGCTTCTAACTTAAGATTGAAATGATGTGACTTGTTTGAAAAAGTTTCATTGTTTATTTGGCATTGTGTTATCTTGCATAGGTAATAAGCCTCCACAAGCTTTCATGGTTGTGGTTGCCAGATTTCAAGAGTTTAAATTTGCCAATCAGAGCTTTTTACTTCAATTGATAAATTTTCTGCCCAGTGCTTAACTTAATCTTCCCAACCTGGCAACCATGCCACTTAACCATTATCATGTAGCCCTACATCATCCCATCTCCATTGTCCCAGTCTTCACTGAGGTTAAACCTGTAGGTTTTAAGATTTGTCTGGCTCAGAACAGCCTTTTTGGGGTAAAAGCAGACCAGTTGAAAAGGCGTCTATGAAATCTTGTCATTTATGTTATCCGTCATGTTATGAAGTCTTTATTCACCTCAGAAACTAACCTAGAATATACAGTTTTCTTTTCTGCGAGAACTGCATTCCTTCCCTGTTAACGAATGCAGTCTATTCCTGTTTGGTTTTCGCACTGTCGACTTCAGGGATCATCATGTCACACCTCTTTTTAACTCTCTCTCTTGGCTCTGGCAGAACTCTCACATGCTCTGTTTGATCTCGCTCTCTTTCTTCGCCACTGTCTGCTGTTTGCCTTGCTGCAAGCTGCTTCTATGCACACCAGCGATTTGACACAGCTTCTTTGTGGCTTGTTTGGGGGATCGCGGGGGGCAGGCCCGGTTGCCAAGGCGCCTCCAAAGCTCTTAACGCCATCCAAAGACTGCGATTCATTTGTATTCAACTACACAACTCTTCAGATGCTCAGGAAGAACAAACCCCAACTCCAGTTGATTTGTGAAGTGTCTCCTGATAAAGGCAAACACAAATGATGGAGATGATACCAGAACGCCTCCAGAATGTGTCTGTAGTGTTCATCACACACCCAGTGTTTCCTCAACTCTTTGTTTAATCTGTTGATCTGTGGTAGACATGCAAGTTTCCCGTTTTAACCCGAAAGACTGTTTAGATTTTAGAGGAACGTGCATGTTCTTGTTCATTATGTGCTTTCAGATGTTCTGGAAGTGTGTACACTTATCTCAAAGTGAATAAATAGACTTCATTATCCGAATCTAGCTAATTGTAATGGTCTTGGAATTGAGATTTTCTGCCCTTGATGTAGTCAGTATGTTAGATTTGAGGAATAGTTGATAAGGAAAGGCTATATAAAGGCTTGCTCGACTGGCTCAGTGTTTCATCCCCACCCTCTTGTGCTTTTCCCACTAGACTCTTTTTCTGTTCTCCAGAACATTGCTCTCTGTTCAAACATGTCTTGACTTGTACACAGTGACTTGGTTTCATTTGTCAGTTTGTCTTGATGTTTTGGCGGTGCCATCATGTTTTATTCTGCTTTGAGATGTCGCACTGAGATATATTTGGGTATCATCTTGTGTAAATGTGAATATTACAGTAAGTGCATTCTCAGAAATAAAGGTACAACATCTGTCACTGGGGCGGTATCTTTTCAAAAGGAACTCTTTTGCACCTTATTTACCCCTAAAAGATGCATATTAGTAGCTTAAAAGTACATACTGTAATAGCACCTGAAGAGTATATCAGTACCTAAATGGTACATATTAGTACCATTTGAAAAGTGATGTTCAAACCACTTTTATATTGCTCACAAACAATATAGGCTATATTTGGTATCATTTTATGCCCAAACTAAGAGAGCCTTTTAAAATGCCATCAATGCTGTGAAGCCTTTTTTAATGCAAGTATGTAGATGATCTGCGTGTTTGGGTGGTTTTAAACAATTTTATGGAAAAATATGGTCAAATGTTGTTACTTATAAGTGATTCAAGGAATCATTATTATGATTTCTTCCATTTCCAAATCTTTAATTAAATGTTTAGTTCATGCTGCGGTTTGTGTCGCAAATAAACATCAGTGAAAACACACCTACATTTGTTCCAATGTAAATTAAAGTTATGAAACTTTAAAGTTGATTTAATAAAGTAAATTAAACTTAACAGCTTTAAATTTTTGTATTGATTGCATGTCAATAGCAACTAAAGAGTTCACGAATAGTAATGATTTCACTTGTAATTGCTTTCAAATGAGACCTATCTCTTTTGCCGTCTCTGCAATTTGTGCAGGTACAATTTAACAATTTCTTAATGACAGATAAAAATGGCACTTTGACTACATTTTACTGAAAAATGGAAATCCCCAGTTCGTTCTTATGGGATGTTCTGAGTTGGCAACCGTAACCAAGGGAGGTGGAGTCTAACAAAGAATAAATTCATCTGCTTTTGTAGACAAAACAAACACGGATCCGGCATGTTCTGTCAAGTGGCTTGTTGTTTAGCGTGTAAAAGTTGTAACGCTCCTGTCTCCTCAGAATTCCTCCATGATGCCTGAGGTGCGGGACCTTTCAGACGCCCTGCCAGAGATGCCCATGGACCCGATCACTGGCGTAGGGGTTGTGGCCTCAAGAAACAGAGCTCCCACCGGCTATGATGTGGTGAGTGTCCGATACAGTACACTCATACAGATAATAAAGATAGTGTAGAAAGTGCATTAGGAAGTTAAACTCTTTGTTCCTCCAAAGCATTTGTCAAGAAATGACATCTGTTAGGAAGTTCTTCTATTTCCTTTGTGGTTTGGGTTAGTCTCTCTACATGAGAAGCTGTGGCAATGTTTGAAAACCTAGTGAGCTGCCCACCTAGACATCATTTTAGTCATAGATTAATATGGGTTTTTCCATGTGTCACTATGATGATTTACATTGTGCATTTATTCATTTAGCAGACGCTTTTATCCAAAGCAACTTGCAAATGAGGAAAACTTTAGGGTCAGTAAGATTCCATTTTTTAAAAATGAGTATTTAGCAATAGAATTTAGAATTTTGCAACGATACATTAAATTATTCAAAAGTGACTGTAAATACTAAAATAGAATGCTGTTCTTTTTAACTTCATATTTGTCCAAGAATGATGAAAAAAAAAAAGTTTCCCACAAAAATGCAAAATATGAAGCTATTATAAACATTCATTAAAAATGAGAAATGTTTCTTGAGCAAATCAGCGTATTATAATGATTTCTGATTCTGAAGGATCATGTGACACTGAAGACTGGAGTAATGATGCTGAAAATTCAGCTTTGATCGCAGCAATAAATTATATGTGTGTATATATATATATATATATTATATTAGGGCTGTCAAAATTAACGCGTTAACCAAACTCATTTTAACGGCGCTAATTTTATTAACGTGTGATTAATGCAGCGTGCATTTCCTGTTTGACCCGTTGCCTAGCCCGTAGTTGGAGAAATGGAGATGCTGACAGTGTTGCCAACTTAGCGATTCAGAGACTTTTTTTTTTTTTCAAACAGCGCCTAGCAACAATACATAACTAATAATTGGACAAACCTTATTTAGTTTCTGAGACTTGTTGGTCCTGCCGCGCGAGGTTTTGCGTCTGCTCTGGTTAGCGAGCGGCTGAGAGGAGCAGCGCTTTAAGCGTGCTTTCACACTTGGTTCGCTTGCCTGGTCTGAACCGGAGTTCGATTGCTCCCCCTGCCCCCGCTCGACTGTGTTCATATTATTTTATTTGGGTCAGAACCGCGGTTCGTTTGCGTCATTAAGCCAGAAACAGCGCCTAGCAACAATACATAACTAATAATTGGACAAACCTTATTTAGTTTCTGAGACTTGTTGGTCCTGCCGCGCGAGGTTTTGCGTCTGCTCTGGTTAGCGAGCGGCTGAGAGGAGCAGCGCTTTAAGCGTGCTTTCACACTTGGTTCGCTTGCCTGGTCTGAACCGGAGTTCGATTGCTCCCCCTGCCCCCGCTCGACTGTGTTCATATTATTTTATTTGGGTCAGAACCGCGGTTCGTTTGCGTCATTAAGCCAGCAGCTGTTTACCCCGTTGCTTCGTGACGATGGCGCAGGAGAAGGCGGCAAATGCATAACATTGCTCACTGCACTTTTATATATTTAAGTTTTTGAACCGTTCCTTTTGTTTACAAAGCTTCGGTACATAACGTCACTTACGTCTGTCTTACGGATGTACTGCAAATGCTCTAAAGAACGCTGAAGGCGAACAGAAATGAGATATACAGCTCTCTGTTTGCAGCGCATCGGTCACGCTTGTCAGGAAAGTGAGTGAAACACACACAAACACACATTTTTATAAAATAATAAGTTATTAATAGGGGTTCACTTCCGTGATTTGGTACGATTGCATTCACATCAGCAGCGAACCGTACCGGAGTTCATTTGAACTGTACCCCAGACCACCCTTTTTTAAGCGGACTCGGGTACGGTTCGCGGGTGCGCACCCAAGTTCGGAAGACCGCGTTCACATCATAAAAAAACTAACCGAACTCTGACGTCAATCGAACCCGGGTGCGCACCAAAAGTGCTAGTGTGAAAGCACCCTTAGTTAAACCAGGGCTGCGTTTCCCAAAAGCATCGTAAGCTTAAGTTGATCGTAGCTCCATTGGTTTCAATGGGTGTACGATGTACTTAAGCTTACAATGCTTTTGGGAAACGCAGGCCAGATCGTTGCTTCTCTAATTTTACACGCAAGTATAGTCGAAATCACAACACAGCTATTGTCTTTATCTTATGTGTATTTGATTTCATCAGACGACGGTTCGATTATAAATCAGGATTTTTGTGCAGATTAACATCTTGTAAGGGAGAGCTGGTTATGTAATCTTAATGGGTCGCGTTTCAGTCTCTATTTCATATTAATTCGGTTGTCTGACAACAGAAACAGTAAAATATAACAATGAAAACAGTTTTATTGAGAATTTGGCTGCATCAAATTACAGTATGTCTGTCCCTTTAAGTAGATCGTAGCTCCATTGGTTTCAATGGGTCTACGATGTACTTAAGCTTACAATGCTTTTGGGAAACGCAGGCCAGATCGTTGCTTCTCTAATTTTACACGCAAGTATAGTCGAAATCACAACACAGCTATTGTCTTTATCTTATGTGTATTTGATTTCATCAGACGACGGTTCGATTATAAATCAGGATTTTTGTGCAGATTAACATCTTGTAAGGGAGAGCTGGTTATGTAATCTTAATGGGTCGCGTTTCAGTCTCTATTTCATATTAATTCGGTTGTCTGACAACAGAAACAGTCAAATATAACAATGAAAACAGTTTTATTGAGAATTTGGCTGCATCAAAATACAGTATGTGGGCACAGAGAGGCAAACAAATGTAATAATAAATAATAAATGTACATTTTGCATGTTCAGAAGTAAGCTACCCTGTCCTGCAAATAATGTAAACAGGCTTGTGTAAGTAAATTGCTCAGTGCAAAGAAAGAGAAGTAGGTAAAGGGAACCTGGTATTTCTATGTTCTTTTTTTCATTTGTCTAATAGACATGGAAAAGTTATTTAAAAAACATCTATGACCTATGAAACATGTCTAGTCTTCATGCTCTATGTTGAGTATGGTTTCACTAATAATAAACATACATTAGCATAAAGCATCCATATTTGTCCATGCCCATGTTGATTAGAGTTTTAAAAACTTGAAAAGTATTAATTCAAGGTACATTTAGAACAGATAAAAATGTACGATTAAGTTGTGATTAATCACGAGTTAACTCATGACAATCATGTGATTAATCACGACTAATATGTAATCACAATGTCAGCTTAACATCGTGATGTCTGTCAGCCATCGGCGATGGACGATGGCAGCGTCTATCAGCCCAACCCTAATATACACACACACACAAAATTTAACAACAGCAAATGAGATGGACACACATATGCTGATGTTGAATAATCCTTTTTGTACACAGTTTTTTTCTCAGAACACACACAATTTGTTTGAAACACAATGTTTATTAATTTACAAGGCTGTTTGTGGATAGACACAAGGCAAGCTAGCACTATGGTTAATTCAGGCAAGCAGTGCAATTGTGCAATGTTCTAATAATGGTCAAAAACCTGCTAAATAACCAGGATCAGTGTTTTCAAACACTGTCATTCCATCAATGTGCAAAACAGCTATTTCTATGTCATATTTCAGTCTTATGTGGCACTTGGTCTACACTGATGGGTAAAATAGACTTATTTGAGTGCTGTAACATGGCAGGCCTTGTGGAATTGTTGATATGTAATACAAGAACGATGTTGGATGTATTCCACTGGGGTTTTAGAGTTGGTATCAACAAAGAGGCCTGTAGATCTGCTCACAAACCATGTTGATCTCAGTTGCAGAAAACCCCTGGTCACGGTGGCCTCAGTTCAAAGGCGTTCAGAGGAGAAACACGATCTGTATGTGGTGCGCTTGTTTTCCCAGCACCTGACTTTTAAATGCGCACAGCTTTGCAGGCGAGATCTGCGTAATCATTCCACCAGAAATGTGAAGGGGACCAGGAAGACGTCTTTAAGAAAGTGTTTGCGTACAGTATCAATGTTGAGCTCTATTGTAATAATCTGCTTTATTTTGTAAGATCTCCCAGAGACTGTTTTCCCAAAACCTTTTGGAAAAACGCCACAGCATAGTTTTGTGATTAATGATGCACCTCATTAATAGCCCTACATGAACGTCACTTCACACCCTAGAAAGTACACTTCTGATCACAGGCCTAGCTGCTGACTTTTTGTGCCGTTAAAACATTTTTGCACCATTGCATTTGCATGTTTTTTGGTAGGAACTCACGCCTGATCTGGATGTACTCTGGCAACAGAAAAGGCAGCGGGGTTGTTGTTTCCTTTGGCCGTCACAGTCGTTGTCGTCACTCCAGCGCAGAGCTTAACAATGCTTCCTGTGTGGATTGCGAGAGTGTGTGAAAGCGGGGTCTGTTGATAACACCCATTCCACCCCCAAAACGTCTTCTCAAATCACAGAAACACTGCAGTCTACATGCAAAGCATCAGAGGGAGAGAGTAATCTGTTGTTTCCAGCACTAACAGTGAGCTTCTTGTGTATTTCTGTCTGTTCAGTATCAAACTACAGAAGTCCGAGGTTTGACCCTTGGACAACCCCTAACGTCTGAGCTCTTCACTGACTTTATTGACTCATCACTTATCAAATATCTTTCCAAATTGTCTTTTAATTGATTAAAATGAATGTGGGTTTGTCTGTACAGTGAAAATAGGCAAAACAAATAGGCAAAAAACAATTAATGCCTTCAAAAATAGGCAAAAAATAATCATCCAATTGAGTTATACATTGGTACAAATATTATGAACGTTATGAGGGTTCTAGGCCTGTGGATCACTAATTATTAATTTAGTAATTTAATGGTGCTTTTAAAGCCAAGTATAACAACAACAATAATAAAAAATAATGTTGTTATAATTATAATTAAATATAATAATAATAATTTATTATTATTATACTTTGAAGACACAATTAATTAGCAAATTTGAATAAAAAATAGAATAACAATTTTTTATAAAAATATTTTAGTGATGCACAAGCCTAGAACTATTATTATTATTATTTATTTATTATTATTATTATTATTGCTTTATCTTGAGATTTGGAATTTAAATCATTTGTATGGTTCGCATGTATGGTTATATCTACAGTGAAGTCTGCTGATACTAAGCAGGTCAATGACAAAGTTTTGGTGCAATTTTACAATTTTATTACAACAGGAAACAGGAAATACAGACCGTTTTAGCAAGCCTTGACTTTACATTTAATCCAGCTCTTACCCGCTGGCCTTGCATTTGTTTCTTCCTTTTTTTTTACTAGTTTTGCATGATGCTGTGTGCTCTGACCTGGAAAAAACGAGGGCAGCAAGTAGTATCACAAAGCAGAGTGGGTAATGGCGGAGAGTCTGAAGACAAAGCAGTCTTTTAGGATCTTTTCAGTGGGGTCTATACAGAATGAAATTGTTTTGCACATTTTGTATTTTTACAATTAGTGTATTTTATAAATTTGTGGATTTTATTTCAATGCTAATTATATCATTTAAATTAAAAGTTAAAATTTAGTTAATTTATTATTTTTGTCATTACAAATAATTTTATCTGCATTAGAATGTGAGTAAAAAGTTTAATTAAAAATTGACATGAATTTGAGAGCATCTCAGTATTTGGATGGTGTCTCTTTTGCTTTAATGACAGCAGTGCTGCAGCTACATGAACAAAACCTGACGATCATGTTCTCCGGCATGATTTGAGATGTTTCAAAGAGCATCTCGAGCTTTAACAAAAGCAAGAACACCTGAGCGAGTTCACATGGTCAATGTCACAAATGTCCTTACATTTCAGTCACTTAGAAATAGTGCATTATATGAAATGTTCCCTATTCATTTCTTTAACTTGAAGATTTTTCTAATTCTTTTTCCAATTTTAATTAAAAGAATCCCAAATTTCAAGTCTTAGACATTTGCATCTCTCAAGATATGTGCATTTTTTAAATGAAATATTACTGACACTAATGGTATACAACATGGTATTTGGTGTATAAATGAGTGCACCATCATGTCCGGTTCTAAGACTTAATGCTGTGTCATTTCAGACAGCAGTCTTTCCGTAGCACTCCGTGTTCAGTAGTGTTTGTCGAGCAGCTCGTGGGAAGCCAGTTGCTGTGGCACGACTGTTTATGTGGGCAGCTCAAGCTGTTAATTGAGCAATCATGCGTGTTGACTGCTGTTGAGATGGACATCAGACTGAAAACTGCACTGCACAGCTAGTGTTGCTAACCAGCTCCATGCTTTTTAGAGGCATAGCTTTTCAAATAAGCCATTCTAAGAGGTTTCATCTCTTTATATTTGTCAGCATTAAATACTCAGTAACCAACCTCACTAATCAATTAGTTGGTGGTTGTACATCTAGGAGAGTTCTAGACAACAATTTTGACTGTCCATAATCTGTTTAGGGTAGGAATTTCCCAGAAGCCCTTGAGAAGCTAATAAAAGTCTGTTATAAATGACCAGCCTACTTTAGAATCCTAAATTAGGGACTCATTTTGGACTAAATCAGGTCTGTTTTCTGATGGATTGTTAATGTGAATGAATGTTTTGTGATGAATTGGCTGCCATACTGCATGAATAGTTTTTTTTTATTCTTTAAGATGTTCTTTACTCAGATAAACCAAAAGAATCAAACAAGTGACCTTTTGCAAATGGAAAAAAAGAAACACTTTTATAATGCATAATCAAATCAAATCTTTTTATTCTTTTTAGGTTGCACAAACCACAGATGGGATCGATGCAGACTTGTGGAAAGACGGTCTGTTCAAATCCAAGGTGACCCGCTATCTGTGCTTCACCAGGGCTTTCTCCAAAGAGAACGTGAGTCATTTCTTCAGCTCTTTATCAGATAATTGAGGAGGTTTCTTTGAAGTACGGTAACATTTTACAAATTGACATTTCTAATCCTAGATGCTGATTTGTTAATACAGCATTGCTGTGATGGCTTCTAGATGAAGGATGCTTAATAATTTCCTTAATATAAAAACATTTTAATAAAAATTTGTCCTTTATATTTATTGATTTATTGTTTATTTGTTTTTAAAAAATATTTTATATTATTTACATTTGATTTAAATGTGATTTTATTTTATTTTTTATTTATCATTTCGTTTCGTTTCGTTGCGTTGCGTTGCATTGCATTGCATTGCATTGGGCTCTTGAGACATGCCTTACAACACGCTGTACTACTGAGCTACTTCAGTCTGGCCAAAAGGCGGATGACCGTTTAAAAGATCCAGAACATGTTCATGCTGAAGTGTTTAAATAATGTAATATGTTGCTGGAGTTGACGAGCTCTCTGTAATGTGCCACAGGATCTCGTCTATTTGTTTTTATATACAATTTCTTTTTGTTCATGAAAACAAAGCTGTTTCCGCTTGTGTCGTCCCTGCGGTGTTTAGTCTCATTCTTATTTCTGGGACAAACCTCATGCGGAAAGAATTTCAAAACCGCTTAAATGTCTAGTGGTTCAATAGCTGTTGTTTATTGTAAAAGTTTGACAAAAATAAATTAATAAATAAAAATCTTCTGGGGAAAAAAACACAGTACATCCTGTACTAAATTATGTTTCATGGCAAGTAAAGCCATGTAATACAATTCAGTAGAAACTCAAAAGAAATTAATAAGAAATTGTTAAATTATTGGGACAAACCTCATGCGGAAAGAATTTAAAAACCGCTTAAATGTCTAGTGGTTCAATAGCTGTTGTTTATTGTAAAAGTTTGACAAAAAATAAATTAATAAATAAAAATCTTCTGGGGAAAAAAACAGTACATCCTGTACTAAATTATGTTTCATGGCAAGTAAAGCCATGTAATACAATTCAGTAGAAACTCAAAAGAAATTAATAAGAAATTGTTAAATTATACTTTGCAATAAAAAGAAGACAAGAGACTGTGTTGGGATTGATGCATTTAATTTTTGTTAAATTGATGCATTGCACTGCATCCATAATGAACAGATGTGACCTGTGCTGGCAAAATGAGTCACAATGAGCAAATTTTCAAAAATGAGTTATTTATATGTTCATTAAAACCAAAAGACCTTCAGAATGATGTATGATTTGTTAGAATCGGATGAAAAATGACTGAGCTACACCCGTTTGAAGTCGACAGAGTCAGCAAAGTCAATTTTGAGAAAAATCGAGTTAAAGTTTCCTGAAGATTCCAATGCAGAATCCCAGAGCAACGTTGCATCTTTTCCTCCAGTTCTTTTCTTAATAATAATTACTATATTAATAATCACAATATAGCTATTTTTTATTTTATCTTTGTTATTATAAGAACAGATGCAAAAAAAAAAACAGTAGAACAAATATAAGAAAAAAACAAAAAAGCATTCAAGAAAAACAAAATAATCAAATGTAAAAATCCCTTTAGTGTGTTCATTACAAATAAATTGATTATTAAAACTACAAAAGCAGTTCAATCAAGAGCAGCAAGTGATTCCCTCTTTTCTTTTATTGTTAAATTAACATTAATGAGGCGGCCTATATTAAGACCTACTGTAATGCACGGATCTAATATAATGTTACACATCAGATGTTTTTCCCCAACAGTTCCCCAAACGTTCACTTAAGACATAACAGATTATGTTTGCGTGAATACTTAAATACTGTAATTCTGTGTATATGTGTATATTTATCGGGATCGCGCTGTCGGAAGCGCCTTTATGCGCACGCTTCGGATGACAGTCAGCATGAGAAACGAGTGGAGAAAAGATACTCCTCTCAGAAAACGTACAAATAAAGGTAATTAAACATCTAAAATTATTATTTGGAGCATTGGGATCGCTAGACGACTCATTTTGCCAGCACGGGTCACATATGACTGTCAGTGTTTGACTGCCCAAACAAAGGACAGTATAGTCACCTTTATTTATATAGCACTTTATACAATACAGATTGTGCCAAAGCTGCTTTACAGTTTCAAACAGGAAATAGTTTATGCAGTTCTTCCTCAGTATAAACTATGCTGTTTTGAAAGTAACAAACAGCCTGTTTTATTGTAAGAGTTAGACAGGGTGGAAATTGGTTATGTAAAATCTAAATGACTTCTGGTTTTGGTACAAGAAACCATGACTAACATTGTTTTGATTATTATTGTTATTATGCATATAGTTATAATGTTAAATCCCAGACAAAGCATGCAAACAAGGGCACTGGTATAGATGTTGTCTGTTCACATTCTCCCATATGTGCTTCCTGTATCTCTCCACAGAGTCATTTAGGAAATGTGCTTGTAGACATGATGCTCATCGACATCAAGGACACGCTGCCTGTGGGATTCATTCCCATTCAGGAAACTGTGGACACACGTAAGCACCACATGAATCTCCTCTCGTTCATTTGCAGCTGCATTCTCCAGCTATTTCAGTTGAATCACAGCTGATGTATTTTTAAAGGGGTCATATGATGCGATTTCAAGTTTTCCTTTCTCTTTGGAGTGTTACAAGCTGATTGTGCATAGATAAGATCCCTGAAGTTGCAAAGACTAAAGTCTCAAAACCAAAGAGATATTCTTTATCAAAGTTAAGACTCTGCCACGCCCCCCAAAAAGAATGTGTTTTTTGAACATTAAAGCATGTCAACATATTCTGTTACACCAAATACACAAAATAATGATCTTTAAAAAAGCATCATATGACCCCTTTAAAACCATTATTTTTTTAGTTTTTCCATACTTGATATGCATTGTTACAGCTAAAATCTACCAGTGACATTCCAGATCAGAGTAAAAAGGAGTTTGTTTTCCACTAATGTATATGCTTTTACACATGCAGCCTGATATGTGGCGTTTTAAAAGCTTGTGGATTTGGTTTCTATCTCGTGTTAAATAATTAATCGATTGTGTGAAATGATCCTCTTTGAAATCCAGCGCTGACCTCGTTCTGTCTCTTTGCTCTTTCTATTGTGAACTCCGTCTCCCTTTCACTTTCTTCAACATGTCCCGTTCCTCTCTTTCTCTCTCCAGAGGAGCCGGCCTTCAGGAAGAGGAGGTTATGTATCAAGTTCATCCCGAGAGACTCCACTGAAGCTGCCATCTGTGATATCCGCATCTTAGGACGCTCTAAACAGGCACCGCCACAGTATACATTCATAGGGTCAGTTAGTCTCTATACACAAGAACTTGTGACCTAGACTGTCCTACCAATATGTGTTAATATTAAGTGAGAAAATTAATAGTATTGTGCAGGTGAAATATTGGTTATATTTGGGATGATTTTTTTTATTGACAATATAAAATTAAACAACATTAGGAACATCAGTGTTACCTAACAGCTTTATATTTGGTCAGTGAAGTTTTCAAAGGAAGCCCCCATGGCGTTTTGCATGAATTGAAATGTTTTAAAGTGTGTGTAGACAAATATTGCTGTTATATTTATTATATGTACTATATTAAACAATTTTTATAATTAATTTTTAATAATTAATGCTTTTACTTCTGGCATTAAACATTTCTAATCTAACTTTGGAAAAAAAAAATGTCTTTGCATTTAGAAATCATAATGCAGATATCCTGAAATGATTCCTGGAAAAAAAAAAAACACTTTCAGAGCAGTATTCTACATCTTTGATATATTGTCATGAGGCTGAAAATCTATTTGTTTTGATGTGTTTTTCTCAACCTGCGGTATCTGAATCTCTGGCTGTACAAAGCGCTTGCTGTCTTTACTGATATTATATTATTTATATTATTTCCTCCCAGAGAGCTGAACAATATGGGGATCTGGTACCGTATGGGAAAGGTGCCACGGACCCAGGACTCATCACCTGTACAGAACAGCACCACCAATAACATCCAGACCGTCACCAACAACTCCACTCCAGCGCCAGTCTTGCCCAAGTACGTGTTTGTGAAGTCTCAAAATCTGAGTAAGTGTGACCTGCATTCGTTGCGACAGCTGCAGAATTGAAAGCGCGAGCGAGACAAACCGAGAGAAGGAAGAGAAACGTGAAAGGGAAAAACACTTTGTTAATAAGCAGGTCCAGCATAGCATTCCTTATATTCTGGAATAAATGAGTTGGGGTCTGTCAGGAATTCCCATATAGTTCACAGCAGAGCTTGTCGTCATACTTGCAGGCAAAAGATTAATTTCACTAGCTGAATCATAAGTCAGCATGACATTGCAATTTACACTTCTTACACAGTCAGTTCCTGATTAGGGTTGGGTATCGTTTGGGTTTTGTTCGATACCGGTGCCAAATCGATACTTTTAAAACGGTTCCGGTGCCTGAACCGATACTTATTAAAAAATAAATAAATGAAAAATCCCCCAAAAAATGATGGATTGGCCATTAGAATAGAAATAGAATAGAGAGTGCAAATGTTAGAGGGTCAAGTTTTTTAATAAAAAAAAAAAGCAGATAAAATTAGAAGTAGCATTAGAATAGAGAGTGCTAGAGTTAGAGGGTCAAATGAAGATGAAAGAGATGTGTTTTCAGCCGTTTCTTGAAAATATTAAGGACTCAGCTGCTTGGATTGAGCTGGGCAGGTCATTCCACCAGGAGGGAACAGTTAATGTAGAAGTCCATGAAAGTTTTATCATAGGTAGAATGCAAAATGTTTCAATACAAGCATTTCAGTCAAATGTAATTCATGCAATATTTCAAACCTTTAAACCACTTGGGAAAATCAACCCATGGCAACAGTTTAAAAGTAGCCCAATTCTGTGGAAAAAACGCAGACTTGGCAACCCTGCATCCAACAAGAGCTACCGCAGTCAGCTTTGACTGATCACAGGTCAAGAATAAGGAGAGATGACTGACAAGACCATGCTGGAGTATTTGCTGCTCAACAGATCCTGAGCTCATTGACAAATATCTGATCTTGTAAGATGTGCTCCCTATACACAGTGTGCGTGTGATCGCGAAATCGAAAGTGAAAGTAAACAGCGCAAACGCTCATTCAAAAATATTTAAACACACCGCATCCTGAGAGTGGCTCCCTGATGCGCCAAAATTATACACAATATTAGAATGTTTAAAGGAGTGAACACGAAAATCGCGGGAGCGAAACACATGTTGCGGGAGCAGGCGGCAATGGCCAGAGATTCAGCGGGAGTGGGATTAAGAAAACAGCCGAATCCCGGACATTTTGGGCAATTAAGAAATCCCGGCCGGACGCATTTTTGTAGGTCCAAAAAGAGGACATATGGTCACCCTAATTTATAATCTATTGCTAATCGATGTATTCTCTTTAAAGTAGCATATGGAACATATTTTCTGCCTCATTCTGTGACAAGAAGCCACATCAGATCACAAAAGGAAGCAGTTGTGGAGTAAA